CTTTATAACGTTTTATAAATAAATTGGCATATCGATTTTATCAATCGGATATAAAGAAGAGAGGGGAGAGAGAGAGAGGGAGAGCAAGGGAGAGCGAGAGAGAGAGCGAGAGAGAGAGAGAAAGACCTTCCCTCCGGAAGTAAAAAAAAAAAATAATTGCGCGAGCAATGGAACGAAAGGAATGGCATAAGGGTGATGGAAAGAATGAAAAAGATGAAGAGACGCGTAAAATAATTATTCTCACTTCTTCATTGATGAACGCTCTGCTGGTTTGGAGCTGTAGTCATATCGTTAGTGTATAAGTCTGTATGTGACGATGTTAATTATTGTAATATAAAGAAAAGAAAAAAAATGCTGAAGGAAGACGAGCAAGTCGAAGAAGAAGATGAAACAACCAAACCATTATTACTACGAGTGTGAGCATCTGAGGAGAAAACGAAAAAACGGAGGATATTTACACACAGTTAAGAAGAGAGAAACGGATGACGGACGCTGTTTGTCTGGTATTACTGGGCATGCTTCAAAACAAAATAGATTTTTTATAAACCGAAAAGATCTGTTTCCGACCTTTTTCAGTGAATATTCTCATATACTCGAGACTTGACTCTCTCCGTTTGTGTTTTTCGCAATGTGGATCGCTTTTACTTGAGGATACGAACGCGTGAACGAACGAACGATAGAAAAAACGAGCGAATAAACGAGCGAAAGAGAGAGAATACGTGGGAGAGTGAGAGCGAAGAGGAGCGAATGCGAGCAGAGGAGAATATTAAGGAGAATATGGGGAAAAATGCGTGAGCGAATGAGAAAGAAAGAAAGATGGAGAGAAAGAGAGAACACAAGAGAGAGACGAAGGAAGCAATCGCACCTCGACCGAATTTAAACCTATAATTTCCTCTCACACCTCTGCGCAGTGTTTTGGGCCTTTCCGTCCAATACGCGATGTACCACTGTCATTATTTATTTAATTTTTTGCAATCTACGTACAATAAAAATTGTTGTTGCTGAAAAAAACGATAAGTGTAAATGTGTATACTGTACATTCAACCTTCGTTTTAAAACAAACAAAAAAAGAAATCATTATTAAGGTCTCACTGGACCAGGATTCCTGCCGTCCTGGCGTGTGTTGTAATTGTACATGTACATATACATGCGTATTTTTTAATATCAGACGGTAATTTACTCGATAATTAGGATCGCTTGTTAGAGTATACATATGTATGTATTATATGCATACATACATACGTACGTACGGTACACGATTACGATATGTGTATATACGTATACGTACACGTGATGCGTGCGATTGGCACTGTGTGTACCTATATTTATACATGCATATATATGTACGCATATACGAAGAAACAAAAGAAAAAACAGAAAGAAAGGAACAAAACAATGAGAGCGGCATTCCCGACGCCGATGTCTGCGATGAACGATCTCCGAAAGGAATAAAGCACTTTCACGTAGCATCGTGTTTCTGTCGCCGTTTCTCTGATTACCCTTCTAATTCCCCACCGACTTCGATATCTTCGTGCCTAAACCACATCCCTCAATGTCCTTTCGTGCTCTTTTTATCGAACGTTACGTAATACTTTATTACTTTTCTTATTCTTATCAAATTCTTTTCTTGTTCTTATTTCTTATCAAATTTACGGTTACCTCCATTTTTACTATGATTTTTTTGCGGTATTCCACCGCCCCTAATATTAAAAGATAATCTATAACGTCATCGCGAACATTTTCTAGGTCAAAGTAGTTACTGGTTACGTAAGTGGTTTCCAAACTGTGCGCCTCGCCGCACCCACAGATAATGTGGCTGGTTTACCGCGTCGACTGCCGCACTGAACTTACCGAAAACATCATTTGCTACTATTATTGTCTAAAATTTAAGCGTTGCCTATGTATGGCAATGTCACAAAGTGGCCACCAAATATTTTATTTTCATAACGTTGCCATATATGGTTTGAAAATCGTGTAGTCCACGTGGTCAGTGCGGTACGGTCATATGGGCTGCAATTATTAGGTATGTTCTGGTAGTGGACACCGATAAAAAATGATGATATTAATCGCAAAAGTTTGGAAGGCACTGAGTTACGTCATTACTATTTTCCATAAATTGTTACTATCAGTCGGTAAGGTAGAAATCACTGTAGAATTTAGAGATTAACACTAGATTATCCCTAGTTTTCTAACCTTCTCTGCATTTCTTTTTCATTTATCTTGATTTAATTTGAGCTGTCAACGTCAAGCCTAGCGTAATTCATATTCAGATAACTCGCCGCAAAAACTAGAAAGCATTGAGAGTTGCTATAAGGCAAAACAGGATGCCTGGCACTTGGAATGTCGACGTTTCTGAATCAAAAGGTAGTACACCGTATTTCCAGCTAGCAGAAAAACAGTAAACTGAAATATGTTTCTCCCCGGATTCCGAGAAATTTAAGGTCTCATAATATGAAAAGTTCGTATTTATATAACCTTTTGCCAATGTATTAACGAGTTCATACCCGTGCGAAAACGTGGCATCAGCTCAACCAGATCGATGTTGTCTGGTGCGCCGAATGACACAAAGGACGGTGCCTCTGTGATGGCAATGAGCATGTCAATTTAGCGAATCCATCGATGTCGAGAAGATGCTGGTTTTCGTGAAGAAGCTTAGTGAAATTAAACCGATGGTACACCGCTTATAAACCATCATTTGGGACATGACGCAACCGCACTGTTCCCGTGCTTATTACCCTCCATCCATCTTCCTCTCATCCACTTACTCGTGCCCTTCACATTAATCCGACGTCTAAGGGATTACTAGCGTGTTATGCCGATAATAAGGAATCACGTTGACGCTTATAAATCTTTGGTGTAGTTGGAATGACGTAACAAGGTATCACAACTTCGTATGTACATATTCCGGCGTAATTGAGCAAACATTTTGGACAAGCAAATTTGTTTCAAGATGATCTGCGGTAAATCTCGTTAATCCAATATAAATTTTACATCGACACACGAGGGTTATTTACCTGACGAGTGACGACCTCGTGGTAATTGCGACCTGGCCCTCCGAAGCATACGTGCAATTTTCAGCAACGACTAGTTAAAAAGTTGGAAAATGAAAGTGGAACGAAATTTATATTGTCCTTGTATCAACGAATTACCACGAGGAAATTATTCGTAACATTTTTCATGCGGTTCATAGTTGCGCAACAGCTGTTGCTGCACGATAAGGGTCTTACCTCCCTGGTATCAATATTTTATCATAATTCCACCAGTCTGTTCAAGTAGTCATCCAAAGTTGAAATCTCGTCCCAAGGTAGAAGATAATCGAATTTTCAACAATTTGATAACCTACGGGTGAAATTAAATCTTGAGGTATTCCCTGAAGGTCCAAATGACATCGAGTCTCGGATGTACATCAGTAACTCGATAATATGTAAGCCTAAGTTAGTCGGCAAAATGTCGCTAATTATTTTCGAAGGTACGAAGCAACACGTGAAAGACTGACGTCAGAACTACAGGTGTACCCTACATGAGCAGTGTACCGTGGCCGTAACTTAAAAGGTAGGACAGACGCCCATTGATATAACTATACTCAGAACTGTATGAGTCTCAGATACGGCTTTTGAGGGTGATACAGGTGTTCCCATGTGGATTCATACCTAATAGAAGTACTTCGAATGTTATACTGCGTCCGATAAGCTGATACATACTAAGTTTGCATCACACGAACCTAAACGACGCTCGATTTCCGTATCTACTTCCTAGACACGAAGGGATCTGATAAAACCATGGGGGTATTAATGACGTAATGAAAATATAACGCACATCAGTCCCTAAAAATAGCCCGACGACGCGATTAAAAGTTGTGGCCTTTTCCTCGGGGAGCAATTTAAAACTGATTTCTGGCTACGATGTCAGAAAGTTGGGTGAAATCGTGTTAACTGATTTTAATTACTTAGGAAACTTGAGCAGTTTCCGAAACTTTCTACGTCGATCAACACCAGAATGGATGCACCTGAGAATGCAGTCGTTCCATCCCTCGCTTGCCTACTTCCTCTATCAGTTTTCTCTATGTTCTTATTATCAGTCCAGCCAATTACTTCCTCGTCTAATCGATCGAAAAGGTTTCAGCTACGAGAACTACCCTAATAATTCATTCCTTTCTTCCTATCATCAGGTTTTCTTTTTATAGTCTGGTTTACACTGGGTACCCTCCTATTCCAATAGTCTTTCAAGAAATAAGCCTTGAACTGCGATGATAGGCATAATGGCACAAACAGAAGAGGCCGTCAGTGTTATCCGTTTCTTATTTTATTTGTTCATGTTTTAACATTTCTTTTGTCAGTGGATTTCTAGCATAGGGTTTTCAAAGAGGAGGTGCTGCTACATTTGGCACTTGTCAGTTCGGAGATGCCAACAGTACAATCGATTACATAACCGTTTAAGTGTCACGGCAAAGAGTACAAATTATCAAATTACGAAATACTACTGTGAATTATCTCCGCAGTAATTATAATGTAGTATTATTAGTGTCCTATGCGAAGCTGCTGACATGCCATCAATTGTGCTGTGCTGCCTACATGGCTGTTCGGCATGAAACAAGCGCGATCGCGCCACGTGGCAATAAAACGGTGAAAGTTGTTCCGGAGAATTTATAGAAGAAATTATTGTCTCTAACTATGAGCCATAATTAATAATTTATTTTCCAGGCCATGTTAAATTATTTGTATGTTTAAGTATCTTATAAATTTAAGTATAGTTAAGAATATTGCTACACGGTCGGTAACTTATCGACGAATAAGGTACGTTTTTCATTGTTTTTTGTTTAATACTGTATTGTTGGACTATTCACACTATTTATAGCAACCGATACAACCTTTTTAGTTCTGACAATAGCGAATTATTCTATACTTGACTTTTTGAAAATTATTTCGTACTTGACTCTTTTAATAATCTGCAAATATTTTAAAAAAGAGATCTATATGTTGCTTGTGTATTAACATAATTGATGTTTCGAACTTGTATTTGACATTATAAATATCAAATATGAAAGCAATGTGATCAAATGCGTTGTACGAAATACCTTCGAAATTTACTAACCTTTCAAGCTTCAGAGAGTTTAACGGGAGTCGCCTGAACCAAGTCGAAAATCGTAGTAGTGTCCGTTCGTTGAGCCTGATATTAATATTTGAAACTAAACGGAGTTTTTGATTTCTTTAGTACGTATAATAGATCTATGTTTAATAGTAAAGCACATGAAAAACATTCATTTTATAAAAATAGAGTAACGAGAAAGAATTATAAAGTATTGTGAGTGTTGCGTACACTAACCTACAATATCTCGATATTTTCTAGTGCTTTCTGTTTTCCTGTTAGGTGCTTCCTACTCTTCAAATAATTCTGAGAATTTTCACTGTGCATGGGCATTGTTTCTTATTAATTACAAACAATTGTTTTTTTCTAAAGTAATTAAAATATTTTAAGTAATTCATTATTTTTAAAAAATAAGTTGTTACATGGTAGAAATCATTAATCACTGATAAATTTCGTTTGACTGTATAAAGTAATTTGTCTAAATATGAAATTAATTTTTTCAGAAATTAAATGGCTCGTGTGTTCCAATATGTCCGTCCTGTAAATGCAGTTTTAACATCTATAGATTTGGGCAATAAAACACGTGTAAGTACAGCTTCAAACATAATGTATCAGTTAAGTTTTTACTATTATTTCATATTGCATAGTATTATATGAAATATTATGTATTACAATGTATTTTCATTGTCTCGTAACACAAAATTAAATGTAGTAACGCTATAGTGCTATGGCGATGCAAACCCCATGATAAATACAAAAGAAATTTTAAACAGATTCAGAATGCACAAAGAGATTCGTGAGTGAGATTCAAGCATGAAAGTGCACTACAACCATTTAATGTATCATAAATATCTAAGTCTATTATTGCATCTAAGAACGTTATCTTAGTTTTCATAGTTTCTTTACACCGTTAAAATATTATCAGTTCAAGGACATACTGTATGCATGGACGGTAATGTGTTCAAAATTACCGTCAGGATTCATTGTATGCTTTCGTTGCCAAGTATGTACAGTGACGTTAGCTTCTATTGAATATCAGTTCTATGTTCACTATTTATGTTTTGAATATAGCACAATTTACACTTTGCGTATCATCAAGTATCAATGGAAATTTTCAAATTATAATACAAAATGTTCAAATCGCTCTAACTTTCCTAACAATTACCTAAACAATTTCTAAAATGTGTCATTTTTGTATCAGTTTATTAATAGTTTTCCCCCAAAGTCCCCCTAGATCATTTGTTCATTTGCTAAAATTTCACAGCGTTAATTGAATAAGTTTTGCTTGCTCATGATATTTAGTCTCTTAAGAAGGTTACTGTAAGAAATCTGTGATTGGTTAGTATTTATAGAACATTTACAAACGTTTCGACAGTTCAGAAAACATTGACTGCTGGCTTTTTTCTCAAGTCGGTGCTATCTGTGCCTGGCTCCGGCTTGCCGAGTGGTTCCCCCTCTTTCGTTCATAGGGAAACGTGTCCAAGTGCCATGCAGATATGGCGGAACGGTGCAGAGGCAAGCGAACGACTTGGCTCTCACTGTCCGACGTTGCCCGCGACCCTTCCAAGGTTTCCGCCATTGGGATCTTGCTGGCATGCGCTGGCATGTAACTCTATACGCGGACAGTGCGTCCTGCCCTGTCAAGATTCGTGAGAGGAATGCGAGTCCTATTAGTTTTACTGTCATAGAGCCTAAATTCCTTTCCGTCATTTATTAAAACGGTCACATTTATCAATAATCTCAGAAGCATAGAGCCATATAAACGAAATATCCCTCGTCGGGTTACTCGTTACCGCTTTAGCCAGTTCAATTTTGATGCGTCCCGCCTGATTCATACATAGTACCGTATACAAGGTCAACAACGAACAGCACGTGTCAAACAACTTTGTAGGAAGCAAATTATATTACAATCAAACAGATCTGCATTCCCTTCGCATATTGTCTTTCCAGCAACGCACAGTATGCTCAGCTCTGTCCTATGGAACGTGGGAGCACGGAATTCAGCATTCGTCCGACTCGGTCTTGTTTATATACGGGAAGAGAATGGTTAGCTTCTGTCGCTGATGACATCCTATTCCCGCATATGCATAAGAAAGGACGCAAGTCAAGCGAGTGATGACAAATTCCTCCTCCCGATGTCCCGCTGACCACAATGTAGCTAAACGTGACTGTACTGTGCGTTGCTGGATGTTTAACGAGTCGTGTGGGGGAAAGGAGACAACTCCGCTCGTATCGTCTGGCTCTGTCGGTGGACCTCCCGAATTTCTCCAGTCCCCCGTTCTCCTATCTCCTGTTATACGTTCACTCGATACTGGGATCCTCGTATCCCCGGATCATGCTTTCGAAACATATACACAGCTGTCATTATGCGATGCTGTGTCACAGTTTTAACGCTCATACCGTCATACGCTAGGTATTATATGCCATATCAAGAATAAACCCGTTTAAGTCGAGACACATGAGCCATGAACAAGTCCAACTTTCGTCACTGTGCCGTTTTGTGAAACTTCTCGTGAGACCCAACGTTACTAGCAACACATTCGAGATGTGCCGAACCTGACCTAGACGAGGAAACCATTCGGCAGATAGGAGCTAGGTTTAGACCGATAAGCTGTGCGTAAGATCTCTGAAACAAAATTTCTAGATGAGAAACAGCATACAGAAGTCGATGTTTATGTTTTGATGAACGGAGGATAGAAAAGTAGCAATACAGTAAAGTCATACGTGGTGATATCTTAACACTTCTATCAAATATTTGATCTAAATCGTTGGCCCAACGGCGATAAAGAAAAAAAATCCGAGTAACTGGAAACTTTTTATTCAGCTGGGACAATGACTGCCATCTGCGAGTAGTCACGGGATTGCCAAGCATAGTGACTTCACTGTACCAAGAGTGCTGTTGCTGTTTCATATTGTCTTTATATAATAATAATAATGAAGAATGTTTTATTCCGTAGGATGTTACATAAGGTTTGTATATTTTTTTTCAGCCTTCCGCAGATGGAGTAAGAATCAAGGAAGAGCCTCCAGATTTCGATGATCTCAGTCCCTTCTTGACTGACGTAGACACAGTGACTCAAAATGCATCTACAAAACATGCACGTCGTCGTTCAAATACTGTTAGTATCGGGAGCAACGAACGCAATTTAATTCGGGAAACAGTAGCTTCTAGCAAAAATGATTCGGATACCTCTAGAAAGAAACGTAAACGGAATACAAACGATGATTTGGATTCCCAATGTGTGGAGCGAAAAACTAGGAGGAGGACAATTGTTTGCGAAATTAAAGATGTGCCATCGAAGGATATCACGGATGAAGTCAAGAACGAGGTGTTGTGTGACGTGTGTTTGGTACCATTCTTATCGAAGGCAAAGTTAAGCCACCATACCCAGAGATATCGAACCCTGATGGTGTGCGAATATTGCAGCGCACCGTTCAATTTTCCCACAGCACTTTATAGACACCAATTGGTTCATTTTCGTAAGTACGGTCCAGCTCCTAGGGCGAAGCTTGAGTGTTATTTTTGTGAACGAAGATTCGACAGGAAGGAACGTGTGCAAATGCATTTGTTTCACTGCCACGCAAACCTATTGCAGTCTTACATGTGTGATGCTGACAACGGCAAAACAAGTACAGGGACGAAGGATACTGCGTTGAGTCTAACCAGCGATGTCACCAAAAGTGTAGAAAATTCACGTATGAAGGTCCTCCCTGCGGGTATAGTCAACAATGTCGAAGGAGGCATATGCAGAGAGGACACTACAACGAGTGTAATCAACAGGCCAGAAAAAAATACAAGTGGGAAGGAGACCACGGAGCAGGTAATCAACAATGCTGACGTAAGTGCATGCAGGAAGGACACTACGGTGCCTGTAATCGACAGTGCTGACAAAAGTACGTGCATGGAGGACAGTACGATGTATTTAATCAACAGTGCTGAAGAAACTACACATAGGGAGGACACTACGGAGCGTGTAATCAACAATGCTGAAGAAACTACACATAGGGAGGACACTACGGAACGTGTAATCAACAATGCTGAAGAAACTACACTTAGGGAGGACACTACGGAGCACGTAATCAACAATGTTGAAGCACGTAACCATGTTGAAGAAACGTCAAGCAGTACATGTGCGAAGGATACTACAATGCGTACGACTGACAATGGCGAAGAACCTGCAGAAGATACATTTACGAATGATACTACCTTGATTCTTGATCATGTTGACAAAATGAAACAAAATACACGCATGGAAGGCACACAGGTGCCTGCGACCGACGATACTGAAGGTGATACATGCAGAGAAGAAACAATAATTACAGGAGGAAAAGATATAAGCATGGACGACACTATGACACTTGGAGAGAGTGATGTTCAAAAATTGTCGGAAAAACCCATGGAAGAGATTATGAACATCATTGGTGTATCTAAAAATGTCGAAGAAAATACACTGGCAGACAACGGTAGAAATTGTGTCCCTAATAATTCTGACAAAATTGCAGAAAATATTTCAACCGCAAACAATTCAAGTCGTGCCGTTCACGATGTTAACAAAATGGAGGATGTTGATACAATTGAACAAGATTCATCGATCAAACTCCGTAGAAGGTCTGTAAAGAAGGATAACAAAGTCAAACAACCTACGTCTACTGGGGTTAGTACGAACCGTGTGCCAGAGAATGATGGAAAAACGAAAGAAAATATGCAGACAAAGAACACTGTCATGACTAAAACCAGTAATGCTGGAAAGGAGAACCCACCAATAAAGAGTAGGAAGCGCAGAAAAATGAAAGTTAACGAAGCCGAAAAAAATTCTTCGAAACAACAACGTTCCAAAGTAAATACAGAAACAAAAGATGTTCAGAATTCATCGCCAAAGGTGGATACATATCTTCTAAACGATAAAATCAAGATCGAACCCGCGGAACCAGAAGACGACGATTGCTTAATCATCGATGTTGAAAACGTCAACGAAGTTACATCGACAAAAAGTAATATAACCTGTTCCACGGAGAACATTGACAAATCACATAGAAAGGTAGGTCATACACGAAACACTGATGAGAAAATAGATACTGAAATGTTAGTGTCTAGTACTGTACCAACTTATTCATTTGGTACTGCGTCGCCTAGTACAGCGCCATCTAGTACCATGTCACCTAGTACTGTAACCAGTACTACGCCAAAAAAATTAAGGCAAACCACTCTAATGGAATTTCTTTCATTCTCTGGAAAGAATTTGAATCAGACCGCGTTAAAGACAGAAAAAGAAGATGAGACGGAGCCCAGTTCGAGTGTTAGTGTGCAAAATAAGAAAACGTGGAAACCTGTATGTACTTCAACGCCACTACCAAGCTCAAGTGTCAGGGATACCGTGGCTAAGACTTCTACCGATAACGCTTCTACGCCGATATTACGAATGCACATGGATCCCGACTCGATGATCAATTTATTGACTGATCAGATAAAGAGTGAAACTGTGGATGATTACGATTCCAACGTTTCTCAAAATTCTCCATACAATTTGAGAAAAACAAAGACCGATTCTTGTCGCTCATCTCCAAACTTACACGGTACCGTCTCTCCTAATATAATGTCGGCAAAGAGGAGAAAACGAACTACGAAACAGAAACTATCGTTGCAAGAGAAATTGAAGGCTAAATACAATTGCAAAGACTGCGTAGTTCGTTTAGAAAGATGCGATTACACTTCTAAACGCGTGGTTTTTAAGACTGACATGACCAAGAGCAGCATTCCTCTGCAGTTGACGATAGGAGGAAAAGGAGGCAGAGATTTGTTAAGTGGCAAACAAACGAATACCAATAGCCCAACAATTCGGATAGTAAAACTAGAAAATTGTATCGTCGTCGAAGTGATGGAATCGAGGTAAAAGACGTTTCGTAAGTGGTATTACCATAATATGTGAATCTCTTGATTTATAAAATACTCTTGGACGTTTTGGTAAGTACATGTAAACCAACGTATATCATGCGAGAAAATGGACAGGTGATCTTTTGATTTCCTGAAGGTTTCGTTCGTTACGATACACGAAACAAGGGCTATTAAACATATTGCTCGATTGTTTTTTTTTAAAATACGTTCAGATTAGTCTGACTGACTAGTTTTTGCCAGTGCTTAAGAATGAAGAATATAGCTGGTCTTAATTTTTCTTTCTTTCCTGCTGGCGAGGACTACTGATTCAGCAGATTGATATCTGGGTTCAAGCAGGTTCAATCTGGTATTTTAAATGGATGTGAAATGAATTTGGGGGGAAGAATCTTCTCGGGCGTACACGCCGACATCCATGAAATTTTCGGCGGGTATTTGATTTGCCCATTACTCGCATATAACATAGTCATCTTCGTCAGTCATCATGAACGCAGCATAATGTCGATCACTTATGGAGCGATCAAGTGGTGTTTGATAGCGCTTATTTTTCGTAGCAAAACATACGTACCATTCATTCATCGATACATTCAGGGATTCATGAGACACTACTTGTAGATTTCTTAGTGACAGCGAAATCGTTGCTTTTCTGTTGACAACGCTGCCTCAAATATTCAGACCAAAAAGGCAGAATGCTCCAATGTCATTCTAATTTTATTCATAGCGTAATAGTGTTGTCAACTGACCACCTAAATTACTTTTATATTTATGTTTCCTGTGCGGACCTTCAGAATGTGAAAGTCAAACGTAAGAATGTTGTGCACGATAACACATTAAACCATTTTTAAAAATAATTATAACGATGAAATGCTTGCAATTATAATGCGTTGATTTGGAAGACAGAAACGTGGCTTCTGAGACGTTATATATGTTTAGTTATGTTTTTATAACTGCTAAACATTATACGTTTTACTTTATACCAATCGTAGGTGTTTGTAGATGATCAGCATGATGTATGTATATATAGTTATATATACGCCTACGTTATTATAAAAGTGCATATCCAGGCATTTTTAATGAATTTTTTTTGAGCCATGTCATGGCAAATAAATATTTTTAACAACGAAATCTTTTTAATTTGCACATTCCTTATATTTCCTGCCCTGCACGAAATCAGTTTCGCCCGTAAATTATATTGGCGTTAAAAGACCATTTGACACGGCTCCAATGAGCTAAGATCTGCTAGGTTAATAGGAATCACAAAATAAGTTTCGTGATCCTTTCTGGCTGGAAGCACATATTCCGCGTAATCAGATTAACTTATATGCAATAATTATACTCCATTCTACAGGTTTTCTTGTTTTGGACATGGTATTCATAGTGCCATATAATTCATCAGACTATGTGGACTCGAAACAGAGCACTTCGCTGTTGCATCTATGGTACTAATGTATTAAGTTCTGTCTTCCTATAGTCCCCTTTAACTGTGATTATTATGATCACTATATTTAGACTGAATGGGTGGTCAGAAGTACCTTCATCCACAAAACCACCTTTATACTCGCAGTTGATTCAGGATCGTGATTTCCGTGGTTGAGTTTTACTATCAGCCAGATCATTCTTTCATTTCAGTTAGTTATTTCCAGTCAGTCGATTTGCTTCCATTTCATGTACAAAGTTACCTCGAAAGTTCATGGCAGTTCGAACCGAGGACAACAAAGTTTCAAAGCATGTAGTCGTTTCAGACTTCATTATGTGTTTCTTTATTGTGTGCAAGTGAGAAACAGATATCTGATACTCGAAGATAGATACTTAACGCTGAAGTTAATCACTCCAGTCAACTTTCAAAGAAACTTCATCCTCGGTGCTATCCACAAAGTTGGTTGGTAAAACAACGAAGTCGAAATGTGGATAGCGTTTAGCTTATTGTCCGTCATTTCGGCACTTTTGAACTACACCAATGTCTTCTGCGGAAAGAGGCCTTTTCTAGTATGGTCTTGTAGCCTATCAACTTTGTTTCGATTCCGGCAGCACGGTCGAGGGGCAACACGAATGTATGACTTCCTTATATACACGTCCAAATGCCAATACGATGAACAAGTGTATGGTCGCATCCTTCCACGTGACAGCACTATCATGACATACCGCCTTGTCATCCTTCATACCCAGGCACTACTTAGGGCGTCACGATTTTCTTCTTTATGTTAAAGACTTATTATTTAACTCAAGTATTAATGGAAATATGTTAATAGAAGAATCGTATTTTGTTAAAACTGACGATATACCGTGGTTTTAATAGGCCAGTGTTGCACAGTCCAAGCTCTTTCGTGAGCAGGGAGCTCACGATCACGGGTGTACACAGTGCGTGCAACGATGAAATGTGCGAATATTTAAGCTAACTATTGACAGTTAGCGAATGCCTACTCATCGGTGCCCGCGAGTATACGCCCGTGCACTGCCACTGTATAGATTACTGTTGAGGTGAGAACAAGGAGTTCTTTTATCCTAAAATCTGTAAATTTTTATAATGAAATGAGTAATTCTGTATGTATTAAATAAACATTATGAACGTATTACATAGCTGTTTTTATTTGATAAATGTTTATTCCTAAAGGTGGATAAATCTCTCCCCCTAAACGGATCGTTTCAATTATTCTTGTCAAATGTAATTGTGATTTTCGATAAATCATAATTCATACTTTGGGATATCGTACTTTAATTATGTAGGAAGAACAATGCTTTGTGCAATTAATCTGTCGCGTTAAATGTTTAGTGAATTAATGCTTCAATTTCCATTATGATGTGGACACTTCCATAATGGAGAAGAATGAAAGATGGGGCGCTGGACGTAACAACGTCAAAATATGGATGAAATTTATCCTTTTAAAGTTCATAAAATTGTAGTTACCCATTTTATTTTATTTTTCACATTTCATGTACGTCTGTCGAAGTAGGATTCATTATTTTTCACATGTAAACTTTTGCGATACTATATGCAACACTTGTAGCAATGTAGAAATTTTCTAATAAATAACATTTTTCTGGCAACGAACAGGGTTTTGTCTTCGCGTTTAAACTGCATTTTGTGTGACTGCGTGAACACATCGCCATTTGAAACGTTATGTACGACTCGCGTTAATTAAAAGATGCTCCACAGCGGTTAAAATTGTATCTCTATATACACAAGACTCGAAACAGGGCGTACCTTTGGCAATGTACAAAGCACTTTGATTCAAAACGCTTTGTACAAGTGACGTTAATTAGATAATTAAACTCGGTTTTTGTTAGAATACCAGCGAGAGAATAACAGTGTATTTTTTTCCACAATAAAAGTTTATAAAGACCATGTCTCTGAACAGCTTATTCGGAGATACCTTCACCTTACCATCTATATTTTCAGTTGTATGAAATCGGGAGTTGTTCGGTAATCGGGATGGGAATAGAAGGCCGTCGGACACTGCCTGGATTACAAATCCCAGTCAGCTCTTGAAATGCGGCCGTGCCTCGAAACGACGCGATATCAATATTGCGGCACACAGTTACCGATATAATACTCGACAAAGCATTATAACCTGGTTGGCATTATTACGATAACATATACGTGCTTCGATAACGCGACACGCTACGCGATATAATATTAACGTTGCCTGGTGACGCGCTTCTGTTATCCTGCCCGTCCTTCATCCATGCTATTTTCGCCCCAGCCAATATGAAATTGGTATACTGTGTTTACTGCTCAGTGTGCAGCCTGCGATACCAGAAACTGCCATAACATTATAGCAACCACAAATTCCTACTGGTGCTCTTATACTTATGCATACAGGAATCTGGAGTCAACGCTCCGTCATATCCACTACACGATTTCTCTTGTTCGATATAGAGCGGTTCAGTCTCGCGTATGCATTGAACTTTTGTCCCATTGTTTAAAGTGCCAGATAATCTTCCCGATGACGAGTAGATGCGATTGTATCTATTTGTTCGCAAGAACTTGTGTACATATTCGACTTTAAGCTCAACATTCCAGCAATACCACCATCTTCAGCTGCAGCGTCACAGAACACTTCTGTAACCGTGTCTTTCAACTAATCCGCCACCGACGAGAAGCTGTTCATCCATCGGTTGCCAACGCAGTCACGAGGACCACAGAAATGCGGATCATCAGTGTGCAGTTTCCGTAAGGCGATCTAGCAGATTCCTCTTGTAATTAGTCGGATTTGAAGTCATAGGTCACCGGATACCGCCATCTCTGCTTCTATAATTCTGTTTACTGGATTTCAAGTTCTATTATTGTACATGCATAGAAGAATTTGTGGAATATAATGATTACAATGGTAGCACTGTTGGCTACTTACTACCACATCGCAATCCCATGGCATCCCTAACTTGTATAACTTTACTAGAAGATTCATTGCTCGTATATGGAACCACGTATACGTGATGTCCAGAGAATGTCAAGAGAGTATCACAGTTATCAAGAATCGTCCGTTTGTGGAGATTTGATACAAAATCGCTCCACACAAATGAGTTTAAAATTTTTACTTTATAATTTAAATTTTGGTAATAGCTTGGAAAGGAGGTCTTAAAGTTTATTCTCCTATTCGAAATTTACATCTCAGAGACTCGGTTCCAGCGCGGCATACGCATATTCTTTGACTTACGGTTAGAAGAACGATATCTCCTTGTCTCTGACGACAAGAGATTCGGATTTCAAACTTTTGTCATGTCGTGGCTCGTTGCTACCTCGAACCGAGATAAACCGACGAAAACTTTCCGGGTGCCTCACGAAATGTAAATCTTCCGGTGGATTTGTATTCGAGCTCTCTAACTGCTAATTCGAGGCGAAGTCGAAGACAATCATGACTCCTCTTTGCCTTACTCCTCCGCTACGAACTTGTCTTGCTCTGTGTCCCCGTGTTTGTTAACTACGTAATTATACTTTTGATACTTGCCTCCTCGCTAAATCGTTGACGCGTGACGCAATTAATTTTTTAGACGAAACAATTATGCAAGAACGAGGAATTATGTAACAGAATAATGTACCGTGCACAGAGAACAAAACATTCGTAAAGCTGCCAAAAAATGAGATTATAGGCAAACAGAGTAAGAGCACGACAATGTTAACGACCCGACGAAAGCCCGGATAGCAGCTACTGATTACGCAGCGAACGCGAAAACACGCTCAATAATGTAGAGCGATGGACGGAGGAGGGGATGAAAGCGTTAAAAATGAAAATCTCACGTGCGCAGCCTTAAAATACGTTTCCCATGCATGCTCTTATATTCATTTCACTTGCAAATTTTACGATTGATCTTTCGCGGGGGTGCCGCCACCCACCTTTCACCGTTCAAATCGAGTTTATATCTCATGAGTGTCATGCGTATGTCCGTTTGCAAAGCCGAAACGACGCATCACGGATTAACAAGAAACAGTGCGCGCTGGAAATGGATTATGCGCAAAGGGAATAAACAGCCAAATTTGCTTGAAGGTTTTTACTCTTCAAACCACCGCTTAACATTTCAACACAAATGATTATCCTACTGGAGCAAATAACATGGATATGATTAGCTACTTGAGCTAACATTTGAGTGGAGGAATTATACAAGTAGGATTTTCAATCTTCGCCTATAGAGTGGATGATTACGTTTTTTGTGATATACCTTGGAATACGTGGATACGTGTGGAAATGGTGGACTTCGTAGTCGGACTTCTTCATGGATATTTATCCTGTAGCATGTGTTTCCTAGCGTGGCGGAGAAGCAAACATGTTTTGCAGCAAACAAATGTTTCACTTGTACCCTATGAAGATCAGCAGAGGAAATAAAAGAAGAACGGTAACAACTTTGTCGGTTTTATTCGTAGCCATTTCCATAACAACTCGTAGATCTACAACTTTTTCGCAAGAGTTTGGGATTTTGCAAACTCCCGGTGAAGCTAGCTACAATGCTAACGAAGAACTTTCCTAAAGACCCGGCTTAAGCCTGCAGGATTGAAATACTGCTATTTGCGGTAAGCTGAAACCGCGAAAACCTGAGAAATCTCGATTTTCCGTGGGATAATCGGGAAGATCAGATAAGAAAAGCAGCAAAAATAAAGTGTCCAATCTTTGCAGTTCAGAAAGAACTGAAACCGCGTGAAATTCGCGTGTAATTAGGTTAAGCGGCGCTTAACCAGCCTCTTTTTTTCCCACCTCCGAACGCGACATCAAAGATGTACCCCAGAAGATGTCTCTTTGTATCCGCATCTAATCCTACTTTGTCGATTTGAAAGCAAAGTCTACAGAACGTAGCCCTCTGATTCCTTCCTGGAAAAGGAAATCGAATACGATTCTCGACTTCACCTTGGCGACTCCCGAATCGGATCTAATAGAAAATTGAACGCGATTATCTCTAGCCACTAAGCCTCTTATCCATACAGAGTACTCGCCGTGGTCGTCAGAGTCGTGTGGAAGAAAGAACGAAGGAACAAAGCGAAACCTCGGACCAGCTTGGCGAAACGAGTAACGAGATGAAGGTAGAAAAATAGGAACGAAGGGTGGGTCATCTTTTCACCGTAAGACCAGTCTTAAGGACTTAATTTCAATGCTTGGACGTGAATTTATTGTTCGAACCCAAGAGCGTTCCAAGATACAGGTTGATAGAAATGACACCTCCACCCTCAGGACTTGATTACTTTCCTGTCTGTTACCCTCCGCTTCTGATACGACCAGATTAACCCCTCATGAAAATATCAGTGACTCAACGATACTATTTTTTCTTGAATCATCGTGACACTGCAAGATATGGTTAATTTGCTACATCGAAGATCATAACTGATAACTCTGGAGGTTGTGAAAATCCTTACTACAATTGTCAAGCGTTATAATTCTGATGCGGAAAATTTGAACTTGCTATTTTCCAAGTGGACGTTAAAGGATTGTTCTTTTCCAAATTTATTCGTTACTCCGTAAACACGTGTCCGTTCAGCAATTTCCAACCCTTTCAGCCCGCCGTAAGATAATTAATATCCCGAGAATCTACTCGGTGGCGCGCGTTCGAGGACGGCTGCTTGTAGCTTGCTATGGCAGTTTTCTGGTACGAGTTCTGTCTGATAAAAGAGGCTCGTGGACAAGATGGATGAGGCTAGATAAGGACGACTAGAGCCTTGGGACTCTGTAATCCATACAGAAAGAAAAAGGGCAAAAAAGGGTAGAAGGGTGAACGAGTTGAACGTTCGTTGAAAAAGGGACGCCTTATTCGAGCCCTGGGCGTCGCAGAATTGTTCACGCTTCCAACGGCCGGGTCCGATGATTTAATTAAAAATAAGGCAGCTCGTTAAATTAACAACGGGACCGTTATAAGCGAAGATCGTGGATAGCTAGGGGGTTGACTGATCTCCCTTTGATTAAGCCGGCGCGTGACGACTTGGCAAAATGCGACGAGATTCCACGACGGAAGGACGTTTATCTTCCGTATAAAACGACAATGAATTCTGAACGGCACCTTTATTTCGATGAACTTTTTTATTTCTTGTTTCGACATTCGGCCAACGCTGATAACACCGCCGTTCCCATATAAGAACAGCTGATGAAAATAACAA